CTGGAGCACAACAACCTGACTAGCGTGCCAATCCTACCGAAATACGATGTGGAGAACTTGTACTTGGCTAACAACCAAATCGATTCCATTGCAGTGGGAGCCTTTCAGAATTTAACCGAACTAATCACCCTCGATTTGTCGCATAACCTATTGACTTCGAAAGTTTTAGTACCCGATGTTTTCAAAGGTCCCTACACTGACAACGATTTTGCGGCGTTGGAAAATCTGAAGACCCTCAACTTGGGATACAACGATCTGCATAGTTTGGATGCAGATCTCTTTGAACATATTCCCCATATAGAGGAACTCGTTCTCTGCTCAAATAGTTTTCACATCATCGATCGACTTTCAGAAACAGCCATTTCCGGTTTATCATCATTGAAGGTATGCTAAATTGGTATTCATATATATTTTCATGTTCTAGGAACTTAAAAGCTTTCTTGTTTGGTCATTTAGATCTTGGATGTCTCTTACATGGAAATCGATGACTTACCGGATACAATTCTACATGGTCCACGAGATCTTGAAATCCTTATAGCAGCTGGAAATCTGTTTAATCAGTTACCAAAGGCCCTGAAACGTGCGACGAACTTGACCAGCCTGGTTTTAAATGAAAACCCCATCGAAAGTCTGATTGGAGACAAGTAAGAGTAATTCTAGAGTCGTTGAAAAGTATGTAGAAAACATTAAATTAATACATTTTTCAGTGTATTTCCACCTTTGACCAAATTGACCCACCTGAGTATGACTTTTATGTCCAAGATGTACAAAATTGGGCCAGGATCATTTAGTGAGCTGCAAAGTAAGTAATGTTCCTGCATACCAAAAGCTATAATAAAACAATAACTTTTAGGTTTAACCGAACTAATATTGTCCGATAACAAGGTGCTAAATGAAATCGATGATCAGGCTTTATCCAAAAACGTTACTGGAGGCCAGTACTTGGACTATCCGCCATTGGAAAAGGTAATTAAAATGCTAACGAATGTACAAATTCAATAACAAAACCTAAACTTACAGGTTTACTTGAATAATTGCAACGTATCGACTCTGCCGAAACAACTACTAGTACGATGGGATAAACTAAAGGCTCTTGATCTCAGATTCAACCCGTGGAATTGCGACGATTCCAATGACTACTTGATCAACGTTTTGATAGACCAAATCAACAAGACAACGCCCGTTCTGGCCAAAAATGTCCAGTGTGCCAGCCCAACCAAGTTAAGGGACGTTACGGTGCTCAGAGTGGCGAATGAACATTTGGTAAAAAGTTCCACGGGCAGTCTTATATGGGTTGGACTCCTAGTTGTTCTACTCATCGCTGTGCCAACCATCATTGGCGCCTACGTGATGAAGAGGCGCGGCTGCTTTGGTGTCTTCAGACGCCATGACAGCGGTGCTAGCAGTGCTCTATATAATAGGACTAGTTTCAATGAAGATTTCCATATTTAACATTCTTTTTGTATTAGAATTAAAGCCTTGAAACGACGTGTTTAAATTGGATGCAAAAACACCTTAATAAATCAATAAATTAAGCAAACTTTGTTTTACACCCTTATTTTTATTTTACGGCTATTTGCTTTAGATTAGATACGACGTTTTCTTGTTTACAATTTTGTAATTAATTCAAACGATAATTAAATACCAAACGTTAATTTCGAACTAAGCCCGATTGAAAACCATTGAAATAGGGGTGTTCCAAAATTTCCTTGGCGGAAATGCGATGAACCGGATCGTAGATTAACATCTTTTGAATGAGATCAATACCATTCTCATCGAGATTCTTCAACTGGTTGGTCAATTGGTTCGTGGACCAGCAGGGGAATGTGTTCTTATAGTCGGGCAGCGAAGTAACGCCCGGCCAAATGTCTTCGGTAGGTGTTTTAAGAATTCTGCCATCAAAGAGTGTGAGTATCACATGGAATAGAAAATATATCACCTGTGGTTACCTGAACATTCTGAATAACTGGTCGATTTCCGAGTCGCCCTGGAACAGCGGCTTTCTCGTTGCCATCTCCGCGAATATGCACCCAATGGACCAGATATCGACGGGACAGGAATACCTGGGTGATCCCAGTAGCACTTCCGGCGCTCTGTACCACAAGGTAACGATCTCGTGGGTATAAATGCGCACCGGAATGCCAAAGGATCGGCCAAGTCCAAAGTCGGCGACTTTTATAAGGCCACTCTTGTCGATAAGTAAGTTCTGCGGCTTAAGATCTCGGTGCAGTACTCGCCGACGATGGCAGAATAGAATGGCGCTGGTTATTTGGTACAAATAGCTTCGAACCAATTCACTCTCCATGTGCTTATCAACTGGCAGCGAATCCATGTATTTCTTGAGGTCCATCGATAGAAATTCAAAGATCAAGTATATACGATTCTCCTCCATCAGAACATCCTCCAAACAAACAATGTTTTCATGTTTCAGCTCCTTGAGCAACGAAATTTCTCTGTAATGCGTATTAAATGTTATTATAAAAGAAAAATACATGTGATTTGAACTATTTTGAGGCCTAATTATGGAGATATTGGTGTAAAAGTTGAACCAGTACGTATTCACAGGATTCCAATGAATGAACATAAATAGAAAGTATGTACATATGCGCTTATGTATGCATGTAAAAACATACATGCACACATATGTATGATGAACATAATTATGATCGATTTTACACAGTACCAATTAGCAACACTATAGCAAAATCTTTAAAATAACTCATAAAATGTAAAGGGACCTCCTTATAATTGCTCATGTAAACCATATTAAAGAAAAAGTCGCGAAAGAGTTTGAAACCTTTGGAGGGATGGGCGTCCAAGCCGCGGCATTTTACCTGATCGCTGTTGATGGAACGCCTTCGTCGTCGGACTCCAAGCGAATTTTCTTCATCGCAACAATTTGGCCCGTCAGTCGGTTGCGACCCTTATATACCACACCATATGTGCCTTCGCCAATCTTCTCAATTTTCTCGAAATCCTCCATAATTCGTTAAGCTATTTATTTGCAAGCCACCGACTTTTAAATTAGCGCGTTTTTGACGTAAATGCTCAAGTATTACCAGACAGTTAAAACCATGCTAAGCTAGCAGCATATCATCATTTGGAATGCTGAAAAGAAACTCAATATTCAGGCATCTTATTAAATATAAGTTACATTAAAATACATTTATTTTGAATGCTTTTTAAGTACGGGCTATTTCTCTAACTTTATAATTTCTGAATTGTTGAGCTCCTATTAATTCGTGACCGATGCTCTTCTAGTACTAAAGTTTCTGTTATTACACTATGATTATTTTATAATTTAATGCTGTTCATTTCTCATTTTACTTATTTGATGAGGAGTATCGGCAATCTACATTTAAATCCTTTACATTTTTAAAAATATATTTTGAACAGGAATACCGCATCTGATTAGGTTAATTTTTTGTTGTTTCAAAATTAATTAGTCTGTTGTCGATATCTTGACATACTACATGCATGCCGCAAATGTGCATAACATATATTAAACATATTTATTTATTTGTAGCGACACAGCAGAGGATGTAAGCATGTCGTTTTTAAGTAAAATTGCTGAGAAAACTTCAAGGTTCAGGTGAGACCAAGCGTTTTTATATGTTACATGTCTGTATAATCAAAAATTACTAAACACCCATTTGTTTATTGTAGCCTTCGATTAATGTCGGTGTATCCTACACACTACGTCGAACCAATTGTACAAAAAGATAAACAGCTTGAGCAAAAGAATGATTTATCCAAGCTTTATCATGTGCCAATTAAGGCGGCGGTCAACAAATCGTCTGATACCATCTTTCACGACGATACCAAACATAAAATGATAAATTATATAACGAAAAAGGGGAACAGTGCCTTGGCTAGAACACTTTTGTCAAAGACGCTGGAGTTAATAAAACGCACCCAGACGGAGCACATGAATCTGGCCAAAGGGGAGAAGACAACCATCAACACCAATCCCGAAACGCTCCTGCAACAAGCGGTTGAAAACTGTCGACCGCTCCTGCAAGTGACCGCCATAAAACGTGGTGGAGTCACCTACCAAGTCCCTGTTCCCATCACCACAAAGCGGTCGTATTTTCTGGCCATGAAGTGGCTCTTGGAAGCTGCCCGTGAGAAGGAGCGTAAGGTGTCCCTTCCAGAAAAGCTAGCCTGGGAGATTCTCGACGCAGCCCATGGCCAAGGCAGAGTCATCAAGCGAAAGGATGATTTGCACAGGCAGTGCGAGAGCAACCGCGCCTACGCACATTACCGATGGAGTTAAATGTACAACGAACCGTTTTTCCAATGCAATAAACTTTTCATATTTCTGTTAAATATCTGTGATCAGGTACTTGCGTCTGGGGAACGTTTTAACTTAACGGAATATCGAAATAATTCCTAGATTACCTTGGGCTTAAAAGCGACGACTTTACGTTTATTCAATTTTGTTATGAAGCTGTTAAAATCAGTATTGATTATTTTTCGACGTTTTCTATTAAGTTATGCATAATAAAACTAACTTTATGAAAAATTTTAATATTTTTTACAAATTACAACTATATTTTTCATTATTTGTTATTTCTAGTCTATTTGTACATCTTCCAAATGAATGGAAGGCATTATAGGTTTAGTCTACATGTGTAAAATTATCATTACAAAGCTTTTTTAATGTTTCCTTTATTTAAAACCCAAACTTTTGTTAACCTATACGTTATATTGGACTTATTTTATTTATAAATCCATTCAAGACTCCTCACTTTTAAGCATTTTGGAGAGCAATTGAACCACATACTTGAATATATATTCATTTTGAATTCCCTTTAATTTAAAATTACACCACAGTTAAATAACAGAGTACCCTTTTTTATTTGTAGTGGATTTATTTTCAGCATTTTATACAATTGAATTGTTTTTTCCAGTGCAAAAGTTAATAGAATTGACCATGTTCATTGAGTACCTGCGGTGTAAATAGTGCATAAAAGTTGTCGAGGTGGACCTCTATCGAAAGGCCTATCGATTCTTATCGAATCGCAACGCTACAGATGACGCACGAAGAGAACAAAGATGGCGATCCCGAGCACACGAAAATTAAAACGAGCTGAATGATAAATAAAGAATTTTTTACCTATAGTTGAAATTCGCATAAGCGCAGTGAACTAAATTAGTTAATAGAAGTGTCATGCATATTTGCAATGTGTAAACGAAGAGTTTATCGCAAAACGTTTTACTTTATCTGTGCATTTTGATATAATCCCAAAACACATAATCTTGCTACTAGTTGAAGTCGACTGGACGACATTACAAAAAAAATTGGGTAAACTTATCAAACGCTATTGAAAACACAAGGATTCTCGGTATTAATACGAAAGAGATATGTATATGTAATATATACGCTGCTGGTGGCTCAACGTCAACACTCGCTGCAACAAAAGGAATTGCATACATATAATTAACAGTGGATATTAGGGTGAGTACTTTTCACGAAATGTATTTTAATTCGGTGCAGGGTATGTTTTCTAGCCGTTTGATTGCACTTTTTATGCTGCCCATGGATCTGCATACGTTTATTTGTTGAATGTGTGTATATACCCGTGGGTACACAGCCTTATGTACGAATTAATTTGTCTTAAATGTATGTGGATACCATTTTCATGATTCTGCATACATACACATGTATGTATGTATATGTATGTACAAATGCTCGTAAACAAAGTAACTACTTATGTACAAGCGAGTAAATGGGTGTAAAAGTGTATGAATTAACGTTAGTCTCCAAGTGCGAGTGCTTGTGTGTCTGTGCATTTGTTCGTTTGGGAAGTTATTTTAAGTTTTATTTTCGTGCAACAAACTCACGGGTTTCATATACCATGTACGTGTATATTTCATGTAAGTATCATGTACATGTGTTCAGGGAAAATGTTGTGAATCAGGTGTAGAAACATTTTAAGAATCGGTATTGTGTTAGTTTGTTAAATAATTTATTAGTCTATTTTTTTGTTCCGTGAGTTTTAAACAATGTTTTTAATGTCTAATGTAATGTAATGTAATGTAATGTCAAAGCATTTAGCATTCGATGCAACAATTAATCAAATACATTGAACAAATTATTATTATTATCAGTAAGGTTTTTATAAAAAGTTAACTTTTGCTAAACTAAGGAATACTGATTTAAAACAAGTAAGGTCAGCTACAACATGGGTTCCAAAATGAAACAAAATATTGATATATGAACCATATTTTTATTAAAGTAACCAAAAATAACAGTTTTAGGTGTGCTTATTTAAACTATTTACAGTTAGGACAAGTTGCAACACGTGCCACGCCCACTTTTAGGTCTAGTTCAAATTTTCTCGTGATAAGAATATAATCTGTTACCGTTCATACCAGTTAACTAGTTATATTTTTTAAATATTTTAAAAGTGGATCAAACTTTGTTTCATAATTGGGTCAGCAAAAAAAACTTCTTTAAAGTTGGTATCATTGTAAATTGCCTATTCATTTTTGCTGGCGCTAAAAGTAGTCAAGCAACTTTTTCCGCATTATTTATGCAGGACTTGTACTTTTCCTGGCGCAATGGTCATAAAACTCAAAGCATACTCCCTGATTATAAGATCTTAGTCATAGGATCTACTTAAGGAGAAAAATTGGTCATCTTAATCACCTCACAGTGCTCAAGTAAATAGTTGCATATGTGCTACTCACTATTCTTTTAGAAAATTCGAATGCTTTTTAAAAACAATTTGCGGAAGGGTGCAGGTGATAACCTGTTGCATTAAATAAATTTTAAGTAGCTCCATTAAAAAAAACGTAAATTATATTTAAATAGTGCGAAAAAAAGGTTCGATTTTTATCAGTACATTTGTAAATATATGTAACTTAAATTATATCACTTTGTACAACTTTAATTATGAACTGTTTAAAGCAACAAGTTCCAACAATTTGTTTAGTCTATGAAATACTGGTTTTGTTTAAATAAACAGGACGATAGTTTATACCCATCATATTAAAGTTATAGCATAATGATGTTCAGTATACCAATTGCAAAAACAATATTTCGAATATAGCCCTTTAATGCTTATCTAATATAATGTGCAAGAAATAGTTCCTTGTTTATAGCATGGGTTCAATAAAGATTTAAGAAGCAACAGTTTAGTTTATAGTTCCAGACCAAGAGAATATCATGTATGCTATGGGTATGTTCATCTGAAAATCATCAACAGCTCAATCAATACAAAGATTCTGCTCTTAATGTCGACCAGTTCGGCATGCGAGTTACATGTGTAGACAGCATTAACTTATGTCCCCCTGTTATTTTGCAGATATATTGCTGAAATGGCGACCAGTGACGATGAGCCGATGCACTTGTATGAGGTGTTCCAGAACTGCTTCAACAAGATAGCCAACAAGCAACCCACGGGGACGGTTGGCGCGGATCGCGGCGGCGGCGGTGGCTACCACTCGCCGTACGGCAGCCTGGGCGTGGAAAATGGCATGTACCCCAGTGACTTCAACTCGATGCACGATGCCGTGAACGGCGGCAATAACCGATATGCCAACGCCTCGACCGTCGATCAGTATTTCGATTCAGCTGCCGCTGGCAGCGGAGGGGCATGGTGTCAGCCGCAGATGGGCAGCGCCAATAGCTACATGGGCCAGACGGCGTACCAGAATAACGGCCCGCTCTCTGGCCACTCCATAGACCAGCAGCAGCAGGTGCATCAGGCGGACGGACTGGGAATGGGCGGAGGTGGCGGTGGCGGCGTCGGCGCCGATGGTATGCACTGCCCGGTAACCACGGGCCTGCCGCCGATCAGCTCTTTTCGTGCCACCTCCGGTGGAATTGGAGGACCTGGTGCCGGGCAGCAGGCACCAGTGAACGTTAATGTGAATCCCCCAGCCGTGTTCAACTCTCCGCAGGCCCACAACCATAACCACACAGTACAAGCACAGCACAGTGCACTGTCCACGGCTGGACCGCTTGGCCATCACTCGCTCAACCACACGCCGCACGCACATTCCCACACACTCCCGCTCCCGCACGCCCTGCCCCATGGCCATCCCCTTCCACACCCCCACCACAGTCAGCAGAACAGTCCTGCCGTGCAGAGTTCGGATGCGTTCAGTGGTGCCGGGGCCAGTGTGAAGGTGGCCGGAGCTGGTAATTCCTCGGCAGCGGCACTGCGGCAACAGATGTACATGCCGGCGGATCAAAGTATTAGTAGTTTCGGCTCGAACCCCTCCACGCCCGTCAACTCGCCTCCGCCGCTGACCCAGTCGGTGGTGGGCGGCGGAGAGCCGTCCGTGTCCGGCGGCGCTGGTTGGGGTCACTCGGTGCTAAATGGCGGACCCAGCTCGAGCTACGCCAGCGAAATGGTTCCTGTGTCCAGCTTGCACACCATGGCCTCGGTGTTCCAAGGCGTTCGCATGGAGGAGCGATTGGACGATGCCCTGAACGTGCTGCGGAATCACTGCGAGCCCGAGATGCTGGCCGGCGTAAATCAGTCGCTTGCCTCGATCGACAACATTGATGCGCTAACCTCGTTTGTGCCCAACTCACCATCGCATCTGGGAAGCGGTGGGAACTCTGGCTCGGTCAGCAACACGTCCAATGCAGCACTGGTGCACGAGGTTCTGGCCTTGGGCGCTGCTGCCGCCGGGACATCCGGCCAATCGGTGGGCGGGGCAGGAAGCCTGGCCAGTCTGAAACTCGATCGCAGTGCGTCCACGTCCTTGCCTAAGCAAACGAAAAAGCGGAAAGAGCACACAGCCATTAGCAATTCGGTTCCGGCAGGAGTGTCCACCACCTCGAGTTTGACCAGCCTTGACATTTCGGACACGAAGCCGACCAGCTCCATTGAATCGTCGAATTCGGGACTGCAGCAGCATTCGCAGGGGAAGGGAACGAAAAGACCGAGACGCTACTGCTCCTCGGCGGACGAGGATGACGACGCCGAGCCGGCAGTGAAGGCCATTCGCGAGAAGGAGCGGCGGCAGGCAAATAACGCACGCGAACGTATCCGCATTCGGGATATAAACGAGGCGCTGAAGGAGCTGGGCCGCATGTGCATGACGCACCTGAAGTCCGACAAGCCACAGACGAAGTTGGGGATCCTAAACATGGCCGTCGAGGTAATCATGACGCTGGAACAGCAGGTACGGGAGCGCAACCTGAATCCCAAGGCGGCGTGCCTAAAGCGGCGCGAGGAAGAGAAGGCCGAGGATGGTCCCAAGCTAAGTGCCCAGCATCATATGATACCGCAGCCGCAGCAGGTGGGAGGCACGCCTGGCAGCAGCTACCACAGCCAGCCAGCGCAACTTGTGCCGCCATCTTCGCAGACCATCAGCACCATGACCATATCCCTACCCGTCAACCAGGCCAACAACGGCCTGCCACCCCACTTGCAGCAACAGCAGCAGCAACAATCACAGCTCGGACACGCCCAGCTTCCGCAATAGCATGCACCACCCAGGAATCCCTTCTGGAAATCGTCGTCGTCCCTCTCTTCCATAAAAACCGAATGTATTGAAGGCTCCACGGCCAAGTACTCAGATAACTTGGAAATGGAGAATCAGGTTTTAAGCAATATGTTCTGGCGTTGTCGTCCTCCCAAATTGCAACCACAACCCCTACAAAATGTACAACACTTTTAACACACAACAAAAGTAAATGAGAAGAAAACACACACAAAAAATGAAGAAAAAACGAAAACAAACGCCCAAATGATTGCCAATCCACACACAGAATTGCTCTTTTTAAAACGATTGTATATAGCTGTTCCATTACGTTTAACCTGGGAAGATCTTTTTCGTTTTTTAGAATGTTTGATTTAATAATTATTTGTTTTATTTTGTGCGATATCACCGTAGCCATATTTTTTATATACAATTACATGCATACATAACGACATAATTAAGTGAAAATAGTTTTATAATAAAAAAAAACACAACACATAGACTTACTTCTATATATTCCCGAGAGCTAAGGAATAAATATGTCCATATTAATATTTTATATTGCGTTACAATGTTCTTCTTATGTGATTACAGAGAATATTTGCACATTGCGGTAACCACGGAATTAATCGTTATCTAAGATTAGCTGGTAATTGTTGTAGTATCTTAAGGCTTCAAAGAGACACGTTCACGTGTTGTATCATTTAATTAATTATATATTTTCGCGCTAGGGTAGGGCAATCGGAATTAAGCGTGTGATGCCATTATAATCTTAACTGAAATTGAAGAGTGAAGCCAACTTGATTTCCCCGAATGTGTGCTTTATTTTACAGTGACAGCGCTTAAACTTAACAGCAGACTCGTTAAGGCACTGAATTCTTATATATTACATAAAGTGACTCGAAAACTTTCTCGGTGATTTTCAGTCCAACTTTGCCAATCATTTCTTAGCTTTCGTATGTGTTTTACACCGCTTACGTACTTCATTGAAACAATTTACCTGTACAATCTTTAGACTTGACTTCTTTGATTTCGTTATGAATAAATGGTATAATGTAATGTTTATACCTAATAATACATGGTTGAGCTGTCGATTTATTTGTTTGTTGCCAGAGGTTTCAATCTAATATTAAATATCTTTAGGTCGGGGGTACACTGCGTTATGTGATTTGAGTGAGTAGTTCGTTGTGGCCTCAAAAACCTTAAAAATTTTGCATAAGTCCAGTGCTGGAAATAAGAGGCAATATGGCACCTAACCCGGATATGTGTTATAAACATTTAATGTCTGTCTCAAACCAGCAACATTCCTTAGATCACGATAGGTGAGGTAAAAGGGAAAAGCATTGAAATTTTATTTTGTATTTCAAAGAAATATAAATATTTGAGATTATAACTCTAAAACGGTCGAATAATTTTGACTCGCCCAAGATCACATTACCTGAATGATAGGTTATCAGACTGTCGCAATTGTTTATCTCATTTAAGTTTGTTTAGAGCTCTAATCTCATTAAAATGATTCATATTAATTACTGCGAATTTGACATATGTATTCTACATGTACTCTTCCTAATTTACATGAAGAATATTGATAAAACTCACTTATTTTTTCAATTCTTAATACATTTATAATATATGAAATCACAATAGATCACAAAAACTATTAACTCAGCGGTCTACTGCTTAGTTTCTGAATATTTTATGTAATAGTTCAGATCGAAAACAATCCCTTACATTAACTTCTGACAATACAAAACAATTCCAGAGCTTTTTAGAAAACTTTTATTGCCATGAACTTGGTTCCTAAATGCACAACTATGATGTTAGTAATTAACGTTTAATGTCACATTACAAGTTGGACACATTCGAGTCCAGCACGGACAAAGCCTCGTCCTTCTCCTCCTGGAGCTCCTTGCCGGTAACACTTAACTTAGTCTTGGCGAAATCGCTGAGGGTCAGGCCAGGGACGATTTTCCATTGCTTATTCTTGATCTCAACGGGGAACGAGAAGATCACATCCTTGGGCGAGTCATAGCTGCCGTCGGAGAAGACGCCCATGGAGACGAACTGGCCGGGAGCAGTGCCGTTCCACCAGTCGTGCATGTGATCACAAGCGGCCTTGGCCGCCGACATGGCCGATGACATTTTGCGGGCTGCAATGACTGTTGCTCCTCGTTTCTGAACGGTTTCCACGAAGGATCCCTGCAGGAAAGCTGTATCGTTGATCGCATCCACCACGGACTTGACGGTTCCATTGACGGTCACCTTGGCCTGTCCAGCATCGGGATACTGGGTGGAGGAGTGGTTGCCCCAGATAATGATGTTCTTAACAGCAGAAGTGGGCAAGCCCAACTTGGCGGCAATCTGAGAGGTGGCGCGGTTCTGATCCAGGCGCGTCATGGCCGAGAAGTTCTCGCGCGGAATAGAGGGCGCATAGGAGGAACAGACCAGGGCATTGGTGTTGGCCGGGTTGCCTACAACCAGCACCTTGACGTCCTTCTTGGCGAACTTGTCCAGAGCCTGGCCCTGGCTCCTGAAGATCTTCACGTTGGCGGACAGCAGATCCTTGCGCTCCATTCCCTCTTTGCGGGGCATAGCGCCTACGAGGAAGGCGGCCGAGACATCAGCGAATGCAACATCCGGTGTGGTGGTGGGCACCACCCCGACCAGCAGCGGCAGAGCGCAGTCGGCCAGTTCCATGACCACGCCCTCGAGCACACCGACCATGGGCGGGATGTCGAGCAGGTGCAGCACAATGGGCTGATCCTTGCCGAACACCTCGCCGCGGGCAATCATGTACAGCAGAGAGTAGGCGATTTGGCCAGCGGCTCCGGTCACCACAACACGAATTGGTTCAGCCTGAAAGTACATTCATCGATTAGATTCATTTATTTGGTAGTTGTATTGATCAACCTCTCAACAGTTGGGAAAAATTTTTTTCCTTTCCTAATGATAAGTATTCATTTTCATTTTCATGAAAATATTCAACATATCAAAAATGCTCTGAGCTATGTTTAGTTGCAGCTAAGCTAATTATACTGTAATAAGGGGCAAATTGTTCATCCAGCCTTTGCCTTTGGATCTATATTTTATTTTTAGACGCTTGGCGAAAATGAAATATTTGCGAAAACTGCAACCTTCACAATACTGCATATGTATCCAGTTCGCCATTTTCTATTTAAATAGCATTAAAGTACAATTTCAGCAGAAGTAGTGCAAATATGATTCTGGAAAATAAACAAAAAGCACTGCAAAGTTTTTTGTTACTGGTTTGAAGTGGGTTTCATTTTAGCTTTGTTGTTTGCGATAGATAACGAATTCACTGTACACATTGCTAAAACGGTTAACTCTAAAATTGGCTGTCGCTAATTGTAAATAATCAATAGTTATGCATTTAATACTACATTTGCTTTGCTTTTTGCCAGCTAAGTGCACTTTCCACCCTTCCTAGTTTCGCAATCCTAGTTAATCTTTTCCTAAGGGTCACTAAAAGTAGGCCACTTGTGGAGATTGACCCCTATTCATGTTTAGAAAAGTTCCGAACACAGTTTCCACAAATAAGTGCTAATGATTGGAATTACTATCCACAACGTATATTATTTTATATGTACATATGTATATGTATTATCAGATAAATGTGTAATTTAAAAGGTTCGCAACTGCAAACAATTGGAAGCGTAACCCCCGCGAACTTGTCATTTTTGATAAGATATGACAGATTTGAACTGCATGGACTTTGCTTTACGCCTCCAATCATCCGGTTTATATAAGTCCTATTTCCTCCGGCAAGAGCTAAAAACATGAAAACATTTTTATCGCCGTCAATTGGCAATTAGCTGGCATTTGCAATAATTTGATGCTCTTGGAGCTTCTGGAAATGCGTTCAAATTTACGTCACTGAGGGTTTTGGTTTTTAAGATTAGGCACGGGGAGAGGTCAAATGAATGTTAAATTTCCAGAAAAAATATTGCGACCAATTACACACACCGTCATAACTACAGATTTTGGTATACGCCACATTGAATGCATTTGATTATCAAATATAAAGATTATTAATTCTAATTTGATAATATATTTACAAGAAAAGCACAGCAAAGAGCTGCCGGTAGACTTACCATTTTAAAATTTCACAGGTGCAACGCTCCACGGACGAACTTCAAGTAAAAACGTAAATAGGGATCGCCAATTGGTAACCTGTTACTTTTCACAATTTTTTTCCAGTCACTACTTTTTGAATAAAAGTAGCCGTGACTCCATCGCGTTACGAATAATGCATCACGCTATTAGCAACACATATCGATTATTTTTGTTAATAACAAAAGTATTACTTTTTTAAAACCAAAGAGTTATTTATTTAGATTATTGTTTTTAATTTTTACGAGGAAACCATATGCATACCAAATAAACCATATATGCATCCAAAACAAAAATATAATCACCATATTGCTTAGAAAAATATTATACAATGATAAACGAAAAATTAATAAAATTATATACGCGAATGTGTTTTTTTTTTTTGAAAAAAGAAACAAATAAAAAAAAAATTTTACAGACAATTGTACAATTAATAGTACTAATTATGTATTGACTTAATAAAACATTGATATGATATAATAGATAATACAACAACATATTGCAGAAAAAGTATTAGGCATATATTTTTGGGCACTTTGTACACAAATGCAACAATTTTATTTATTTTTTCATAATTTTAAAAATGCAAATGCAGTCGTGTGAAGTGATTATTTCGTTCGCTGCGTTATCGATAGTTTGAACCGTGGAGAAAAATCGAATGTTTCTTGTGGAAAATAATTGGAGTCTTTAATTTGGCGAATCAATTCGTTTACTTTGCGTTTATTTTTAGTCTTAGTACTTTCGTTTGATACGTTTGCTACCAAGTATTTATAAAAATTAAAAAACGTTCAAAAACACAATTAATAATTGCAACGTCGTTTCATCAAATATTCAGAGTGAATAAAGAAAACCTACATCACACTTACAATCATACGTGTTACGTGTACATACATATGTGTATGTATATATTACTCTTGCTTATGTACATTAAACATTTGTCATTTTCCTTCCTACCTGACTTTTGTTATTGTCTAACAATCGATTTTTTTTTTTAAGCTTTTTATACGAGTTTGTGATTTGTCATTTTTAATAAACAATAAATTGCAACTGTGTGGATTGGTAAATAAGTGCAGCGTGAACATTATACATAAACACTCGCATATGTGTGCGTATATAGTGGGTTAACAAATTACGGATGTACAACTACTAGGTGATTTTACAATGCATACGCAAATATCGATGCAAATTCTATGAATTTTGCGTGATACCCACACGTATTAATATGTCGCCATATTCACACAGATGTTTGGTTATTAATCTCATGAAAATACTTTCTTTTTTCTAGTTATAAAAGAGAGCTTACGTTTTAAATTTGAGAACTTGTTTATGTACGCAGGTAGTACGTACATTTCCAAATTGGTTTGATTTCTGTTATGAAAAGGTATCCATATTTAAAAATACTTTTTGTTTGCTTGTATGTGTTGTAGACATGCGGGTGTGTGTGTATATACACAATAGAATTACCTGACGGTAAACACCTTCTGCCAGCATTAATTTGACAAATTTCAAAGGTTGCATAAAATCAACAAATCCGCTATTACAATGGGCCGTATGTAAACACTATTTCACAAATCGCAATTATCCATACTAGCTTTTTATATGGATATTAACGAAGGTGGCTAGCTACAGGTGCTAAAATGCCAAAACTTGTTTTCATGGTGTGCAAAATAACGCCAATGTTCGGGTGATTCATCTATTGAATTTCGCATGCCTTTTGCTATGTTTAATGGTTATTTATTGTAATATATTGTTTATTTTTACCTTCAAATGTTTAGGTGTTGTAGCTACAGAAAACATTTATAGTTTAAGAGTATAAAATTAGGCGAATATTTTTCTCATTTCAATACAAGTTCATACATATGTGATGGATTTCCATAAGAAAAATCCTACAAAAGCTATCCTTGACATTTAAACTTCATGAAATATATATTATTTTATTTACTTTC